TCCTCCCTCCTCCACCAATCAATCAATCAATCAGTCAACCAGTCAATCAATCAATCAATCAATCAATCAATCAATCAATTAATCAATCAATTAATCAATCAACCAATCAATCAATCAATCAATCAATCAATCAATCAATCAATATTTTTTTTTCTTTTTTTTCTTTTTTTTTTACACACCAAAAACCACCCCCCAGAAAATAAATTCTTAAAACTTTTGTTTGTTCAACGGGGTGGGGGCGGGGTTCCGGAACCCCAATCCGCAACCCCCTTCCCCAACGGGGCCCAACCCCCTCTCCCCTCGCCCACGGCGGGCCGCCGAAGACCGCGGCCGCTGCAGCCGCGGGGGATTCATAGGTCGAGAGTTGAATGGTAGATGCCATCATCGTGAGCGTTGTTGCGGCTGTTGATGTGATTGTCTCTGTAGCAGATGTCATGGTCATAGGCGCCGTTGATATCGTTGATGTTGTTGATGTGATTATTGCTGTTGCAGATGTCATCGTCGTGAGCACCGTTGCGGTTGTTGAAGCGTTTGTTGCTTTGTAGATATCATTATCTTATCCGCTGCCGGTGGTGATGAAGTTGTCGTCACTGTTTTGTGAGTCATTGATGGAACGCCTGTCGATATTTAGCCACTTACAGCATTTGTGTCTGATGACGTCGCCCCTGGTGTAGTTGCCGTTATCGTTGTTGTTGACTCGAACTCGGCAGAATAAGTGATGACAGGATTGGGGACACCAGCTTGCAGCTGAGCTTTGGTCGTCAGCCTCGCCTTCAGCTCATCGTAGTAATCTACGCCCTGGTCGAAAGTCATGTTACAACTGTTTATCAGAGTCTGAGCCCGCTGCCAATCAACAAAAGCCTCTAGTGCTGGATCCGTCTCGATCTGCCAGAGGATAGTTGAAAGTTGTTGGTACTTGTCTTCCAGCCATGTGACCGGGGTAGACCCCCCCCAATCCACCACCGGCCAGGCCTGGACAATGGAGGACAAGACTCCGACAATCTGTTGCATATGCTGTTGTGTATCTTCCAGCTCAGACAGCCATGCATCTGCCTGGCGTTGGAGATCCTCTGGTGAAGCCATCTCCTGTAGAACCGCCACATGTGTTAATCCCTGCGCAAGGATGCCTTCTGCACGCTGACCTCGAGATGCCGCCATTTCGCGCACACCTCCAGTGGCACCTGCCCCATCAGTCAATCCCAGTCGACCCAATGCTGATTGACCTCCTAGCAAACTTCCGTGGTGACATCAACGCCTTCAGACTTCCTCGGTAACTCCGAAGCGTTGGGTAACTTGGGTCTAGGGTTTCGCAACCCACATGTGGCACTCTTGATGCCAACCAGCTGAGATAGTTGGCTTGCTCCCCAGGTTCTGTATTGGTTGGGTCTTTGGCCATTACTGGTGTGCTTGTGTGTGTGTGTGGGTTGTGCTGGTGTGTTGGGAGAGTGATGGCAGTAGACACCTATGAACAGCCATTTCGTCAAAACGGACATATTATATTTTTTGAACGAAATCAAAACTGACTTTTTTTGCCAAAATCCGGTTGGAATTTTTTGCTCCCCCTGGTCTATGGTTGAGACCAGATACAAAAAAAAAAAAAAAAAAAAAAAAAAAAAAAAAAAAAAGTATCTGGTCTCAACCACAGACCAGGGGGGTCCGGCGTTTTGGGAACGCCGGACCCCTAGGAGCAAAAAATTCCGACCGGATTTTGGCAAAAAAAGTCAGTTTTGATTTCGTTCAAAAAATACAATATGTCCGTTTTGACGAAATGGCTGTTTATGTTACTCTATGGGGGCGGGTGAAGTAGATGGGAGGCGCAGCTACTGGCAAAATGCTCGGTCTTTTCGGTAGCCGGCCTCCCCCACAGACGGCCCCACCCTACACCCTGATCACCCGGTACTAGGGCGGGGGGCAACGTGCATCCCCTTAATTCTGAGAGGTAGCTATGCTCGCAGGGGTTCCCCTGTATACGCTTACGAGTAGTGGAAGGCAGGTAGTGAGAGGTGAAAGGGAATAGGAAAAGGAACCTGTGTTCCTCTCGAGCGAGTTAGCTCGAGGACGGGCCGGAGTAGGCCTAGATTAGATTAGATTAGATTCCCCTCCCTATAACCCAGACCCCCCTCAACCCAAGCCTTCTGTCCCCACTACCCTCCCTATCCCCTTCATCTCATCTCACCACCACTGCACTCCCTCTTAACCCCTCTGTGCGCCCCCCCCCTCTCCCCCTGTAGTTCTGATAGTAAGCTTGAAGTAGATAGAGTAATAGGTAACAGGATGCCCTCCTCACACTGGACAGGGCCCAGCTTCGCAATTCATCAGAAGTACACCGTGCTTAGGACAGCTTTGCCTGATCCGGAGTACATGAAACATAGACTCGTTTTCAGCCCTTAGGCCTTAGCGTAGATCTCAGACTAGGCAAGAGCGAAACAGGCTGATGCTGCCGGGATCACTCCGGGTTGAATTGTGAGGTCCCCGGCCTCGTCAAGACTAAGCAAGAGTGAATTTCGCAAAAAATAAAAAAAATTGAGTGAAGAATGTAGCTTTAGTTAAAAAAAAAAGAAACGAAAGGATTCCCAACCTCAGGCGTGTCTGTGAGGAAGCTCCCAGGAATCTTGCCCAGTCCCTGGGACGCCAGCATTGGTACCGTCAGGAGAACGAGCGGCCCTAACCAGTTGTTGTGGAAGGGAGTATATGCCTCCTGTAGTTCTTCTTGCGTCCATCCCGAGCACGTGTGGTGCTGCGACTGGTTGCTCCCAGCTCTGAGGGTGCAGGCCCCCCAGCCGTGGTGGTTCTGGCGTCCATTCTGACCGGTGGGCCCATCTAGGAAGTATATATATATATATATATCGTCAAATAGAACTGCCCGGTAAACCGTAGGCAGAGAGGGAGAAGAGGACAACAAACGAGGGGCTGTGACAAACTGTTTCGTCGGAGTTTCACCGACTCATCAGGAGGCTGAACCCTATATATATATATATATATATATATAGAGTGGGTGAGTGATAGTCTACTTTGATTTTGGTTAAGGTGGATTATCACTTACAGTGTAATCAGTGAGGGGATTCTGCAGACTGTTGAGGGTTCAGCCTCCTGATGAGTCGGTGAAACTCCGACGAAACAGTTTGTCACAGCCCCTCATTTGTTGTCCTCTTCTCCCTCTCTGCCTACGGTTTACCGGGCAGTTCTGTTTGACGATATATATATATAGATATATATTTTGGATTTAATATTATCAGGTCGTTTTCCGCAACTGTGCCTGGGGCAAGGTCCCACTAGCACACTAGAAAAGAGGATGTGTTCTTTGCAGAGATGCAGAACAGCCGGTGGATTGCGATTCTCAGCTCCTCTTGGCAAACAAATATGCTAGATCCATGTGCTGAATCCAATCCCCTTTGCTAGACTATGTGGGACCTCGCCCCTGGTATGGTACTTCGGAAAATCGCCTGGTAGCTCCGGACACTGGGATCTGCTTTTTCTTGCCCGTCAACTTGCGACGGCGTCCCACTCCTGTGTTGGAGAGAGAGGAGGCCTATGGACTTTGCCACTCCTGTGTTGGAGAGAGAGGAGGCCTATGGACTTAGTCAAAAAGCTAAGAACAACTACCGGTAGCAGCCGCGTGCCAGGAGCATAATTGCTTATTGAAGCCCATTAGCATTGCCAGCTGTGAAAGATGCCACCTTGAAGATCGTACTTGTGTGTCTGCTTTCCTCTTCATGGATTCGAGGATTCGACTCTTGTGTGCAAATAGATCAAACTTGGACTCCAGTCTTCTCTTTATTTTCTCCCATCCTAATACAGGAAAAGGTACGAAGCTCAAAAAAGAAACAAAAAAGAAAAAGATTAAAAAAAAAGCATTTAAAGATAGATTACTATTTGCTCTTCTGCCAGTATGATTCGCCCGCCTTCACCGATTGATTGCCTCGTTCAGAACGACCTTTTCAACAGTGAGCAGTAAGCACCAATTTGGCCCATCGGCTAGTGGATGTGTTGTCTTCTCAGGGTGATTTGCCAGCAGCCGGAGCAGGATGAAACCTGCTGCAGGATGAAACCCCAAAAAATGAAGAAGAAAACAAAAAGGAAAGCTTGAGTTACGAGCCAATCGCTTGTCAGCCGCCAAGCTCATGGATCTGGTCCATCTGGATGGCGGACACTTAATTGGCTCGCATTGGAGCTCTCGCATCCTGCTTCCAGCTCTATTCCCCTGCCAGTGGATACAACACACCCTCATTATGATGAGCTTATCAGAGAGCAAAGACAGATTGGATGCATTCAGAATTTCAGAGTGATCACCGTGTGAGTTGAGTTGCAAGCAAGTCTTAGAGTCATGGTGAGATCTTAAGGTCGAACCTCTGGCGCCTGCCGGGAGAAAATAGAAGAAAAGAAGATAGAGCCGGTCACGCAATTGAAGACCTTAGAGGCTTAGAGCTAGTGAGCCCTCTTTGGTGTCAGTAGTGCACGATATGGCGTGCAGCATGCGTCGTCACTGTTCTTTAACGTAGTCAGTGGAACGCAGCGGCTGCCCTGCCTCCGCACGCTCGCGGGGGCCCATTCCCGACCCCACCCCATCTGGCCAATCTAGGGGCGAAATATGACAGGCGTTCATGACACATTTCGCCGCTCTTCTGACTGACGAGAATCACGGCCGCGAGGTCAGACTATCTACTGTCAAACATCATTGGTGCGAGATTGGTGTGGGAGAAATCGCTATCCCCGCACGCTAGGGACGGACAGACAGACAGAGAAGCAGTCAGACAGAAGGCAAGCGCACGAACGAACGAGATCGGACCAGCCACCCAGCCATCCACACACACACACACACACACACAGAGAGAGAGAGAGAGAGAGAGAGAGAGAGAGAGAGAGAGAGAGAGAGAGAGAGAGAGTTGCGAAAAGAGGAGGAGATCGCGCGACACGCGAGGACTGTGGATAAGGTGTGGACGGAAGTTCGTGTTCGTGTGTTGGCGTTGGCGATGCCAGTGCATGCATGTTTGTGTGTGTCTACGCACACGAGAAATAGAGATAGAGAGATAGAGAGATCGATACATATATACATATATACATATATATTAATATACATATTTAGAGAGAGAGAGAGAGAGAGAGAGAGAGAGAGAGAGAGAGAGCACGTTACTTCGTCAATGTTGCCTTTGTAGCAGCAGGACAGCTCAGGACAGGATGACCTTTTAGGCTAATAGAGACGTGTCTGGAGTCTGGACTAACCTGTCTGGACGATGCTTCTTCTGGAAGCAGTGGGTAGGGACCGTAGGGCACGCCCACCATGTTGGACTATTCCTGCTCTCTCTCTCTCTCTCTCTCTCTCTCTCTCTCTCTCTCTCTCTCTCTCTCTCTCTCTCTCTCTCGCGTTGGGGCCTCGACTTAAGACTCGGTCTATGTCTATCCTGCCAGCCGATAATCTTACGGTGGGTGCTACGTCTTGATCCCTATGCTTTAGATTCACCTTCCGATCTGTCCAGCGCAGCCGTCAACATGGCCCATCGGGATCTGGAGTCTGGACCCTTTCGGTTTTCACGGCGAGCCTCATGATGCTCTCTGCTACTGACACATCGGAATCTAGGAATGGCAATCCTGTGCATGGAATTCCTGAACAGGGATTTTCTGTTTCCTCTCTCCTTTCGTTTATTTGCCCTTACTTGGAGGCTTCACCGTGGTAAAAAAAAACAGAGGTTCTCGTTGCGGTGATTGCTGAGCACTGCCTACTGGCAAACGCGGCTACTCGCCGTCAAAATGCGTCATGTCCAAGAGGACAAAGGAAAAATGGAAAAATGGAAAAATGGAAAAACAGAAAGAAAGGCTGACTCCAGCTGGCCTGAGCTACTACGGTGTCAGTTGAATTGTCACTGACAGAAAAATT